AAAACACCACACCACAAGCCTCCGTGACTACACACGTCACGAGAGAAGAGAACTCACCACAACAACGGCTTCACAAGCCCTCGTGACATCACACATCACGAGTTGATATGCCTTCCTTATGCCCTGTTCCAACCTTATCGCTACCCCCAACCTTGTACCTTCGGTGCCAACCATTACCTCCAAAAAGCCCCTGTACAGCCAAGTCCAACCTTATTCCTCCGGGACCTTTGTCCCCCACCTATAACCACCAACGAAAACCCTCTAATTCACGGCAACACATGCCCGGATAACACAATGTTATCCCCCAAACACGTGGACTCAGCCACAACTCCATGAAATCACGTCACGGCCACCACGAGGACCGCTGCAATACCTTGGTGACTAGCGTCCCATACCACTAATCGTGCAATCCAGGTAGAGCCACACACGCACCACCACTCACACGAAACAAGCAACGGATTGCAAAAGAGGTATGAAACATACTCAATCAAGAGACAGGTCACCACCCATCGACAACAACGACGCTAGCATTAAGATAATAACTAGCAAGCTCAACAACGAGGAAACTCAACATAGTTCCGAGGAACACACAAGACACCACTCGGTTCAACGAAACACAATGTTGAACACTTAGCACGATACACAACACCAAAGATCCTACATGGATACCTACCATAAAGTTCTAGACCTACGAAACATCAAGAAGACGCTCAAATAGTTCCACAAAAGAACAACGGGAAGCCAAAACATCAAAGACTAAGACAAACAAATCACGGGGAACAAATCCCGATCTAACACCACCGTGTACCCCGCGGGTGGACCCACGGGTAGTGCCCCACCCGTGGGTACACTACCCACAAGGCACATGTTCCCCGCTGGTAGGTCGGCGGGTGGTGCCCCGCCCGCCGTTCCGCCCGCGGGTACATCCCTGCACAACAACAAATCCCTTCGGGGATTTTCTTCTCCAAACACAAATTCAAGTCCAAAACATGCCAAATCTCACCAAGCATAACAAAATGACTTGAACCAAGGAAGATGCCAAGCAATGGCACAAAGGAAACCTAAACACAAGCTCTAGATATGCAATATCACAAGATAAATGCATAAACTCTCACATTTCATATCAAAACACAAGTAGAAGCCAAGGTATCATATATATAGGTAAGCAAAATAGGTTTTGTAGAGCATGGGTTACCTCTTGAAGACCAAAAGACTCTTCTTACACCACAACAAGCTCTCCACTAAGCTCACTAGCCAAACCCACTTCAAGATCAAACCAAAAGATCATAAAGATCCAACCTTTAAGAAAAAGACAACCAAGATGAAACCAAAAAGACTAGACAAGCTTAGATCTTACCCTTCTGGATGCCAAAATAGAGGAAAGATTGAATCTTGGAAGCAAAACTTGGAATCTTGACAAAGGCTTCTTTTGGCTTGAAGAACAAGCTACTCTTGTTTTCTAGAGAGAAGGTAGAGATATTTTCTAGGAAATGTAAGGGAATGAAATGAAGAAGTCTTCTAGGTTTAGGTTACAAAACTAGATCTTGGTGAAAAGACAAGGATACCCTTACTAACTCTTAGAAAGTGTAAGGAACAAGGGAACTCCTCTCAAAGCACAAGGTACAACACCACTTAAAGATTGACTAGTCAAATACTAGTCCTTGAGTATCAAAAAATCAGGATTTTAGGAATCAATTCCTCAAAAGAAATAGAATTAATTACTCAATTAATTCATGGTTTGGAGTGTGGATTTTTGGGGTGTCACAATGAAAATCAAGGAAATGAAACAAAAATTTGAGTAAAATGTGAAGTACTTGTGCACTGTGAGTACACTCGACTGATACTTTTACGGATAGTGAACAAACAATAAATGGAGTTGAATTGTTGGGTGTTAAATACACATCTCATCTACAACATCATCTTTATAATAAATGATAGCTGAAAATTTATCAAAAGTTGTGCCTGACTCTCTAGTTGATGAGTTGGCAAACTAAATACGATGTGAAATGAAAAGTCCAATCGCTGAGTATTGCAGAGATTCTAATGTTGCCTATTGCATAGGCGAAATTCACTCTAGTGATATAGAAGTGATGAGTCCAATCCCTGAAAATATCAAAGACTCTAATGTAGCCTATTACATAGGCGAAATTCACTTTTAAATTCTTCCAAAGGCTGAAGTGATATAGACGTGATAAGTCCAATCTCAAAAAATCTCATAAAATGTTCATAGAAGTGATAAGTCCAATCTCTGAAATTTTCAGAGATTCTAATGTTGCCTATTACATAGGCGAAATTCACTCTTGCAATATAAATTTGTTCATAGAAGTGATAAGTCTGATAAGTCCCATCTCTGAAATTTTGCATAGAAGTGATAAGTCTGATAAGTCCAATCTCTGAAATTTTGTAGAGATTCTAATGTTGCTTATTACATAGGCGAAATTCACATTAAAATAATGTAAATGCGTATAAAGTTGATACAAGTTATCGCTGAAAATTTCAGCTTCTGATGTTAGTTGGATGGAACTGGACGAAGCAGGAAAGCAGAAAAAAAAATTAATGAGTTGAAAAAAAAATTGAACAACAAGTGATAAGTCTAATCGCTGAAAATCTCAGAGATTCTATTTTAGCCTATTAGATAGGCGAGATGAAGATGAGTTGGAAACAAAGAAAATAAAATTAAAACAGTATTATAGGTGATAGGTCAAATCAGAGAAAATAAAATGAAAACAGTATTATAAGTGATAGGTCAAATCAATTTCAGAGATTAGAATGTCGCCTAACATATAGGCGACATATGACAGAGCATTGATTATTCTTCGACCATCAATATAAACGAACATTTTCAACCAATCGAAAGACACACCCATTCCAAACAATTCGAACTTCCAAATACAAAATTGCATTCTTCTTATATCTCTTAATTACTAACTCATTTTCCAAGAAAAATTACAACCAACACAAAACAAATGGCTGGATCATCAGAAGACGTTTGCCAATTGTCGATTTTTTGGGGTGGTCAAATTTGTCAGACTTCCACAACACCGGAAATGTACTACACATTGCCTCCACGGGCCATCATTGCTGTGCGTCTTGTTGGATCATTACCTTTTGTTGTCGATTTCATACGCAACCAAATGAGAATTTCTTCCGAAGTACCATTACAACTTACTGGAAGATTCTTATACGAGAGTCACATGGGTCTACTACATATGGAATATCGTATATACACTCCAGATCAATGGGATTACTTTATTTTGCAAACACATCGCCTAGGTGAGGTCCACGTGTATGCTGCAGCAGAAGTGACAAACCAAGGCAGTGCGTATTAGTCGCAACAGCCATGCACGGAATTTTTGGCTGACATTGAACCACCATCCGCAGACTTGGGTTCTTACGACCAATATGTAGAATTCTCTCGCCAGGAAAATCATTTTCATTCCCTGACGATTAATGCAGATGAAGCCTCTGGTAGCCGCGGACAGGGCCGGTCCTATCATTTTATAGGCCCAGGGCGTAGGAACAAAATGGGCCCTATATTAAATTAATATATATTTTTATAACTAAAATTTAAATTTAAATAAGGGAAAAAATACTAATGTCAAATAACGTTAAATAAGATTCACAAGTTTTTAACGATTATACATACAGATGAAAACAATTCTAGATGCATTCTTAAATTTAAAATAGCCAATAACTACATCCGTGCTTTCATAAATAAAAAATTATTGTTTATAAAAATGAATAAATAATTTAAAACCAAATGAGCTTATAGAGAATCACATTATTATAATAAATAATAAAGTAATTTTTAATAAAAATTTATAAAACAAACCGTACAAATAAGAGCATAGCAAAAAATCTTAATTATTGGGAGCAATAAATCAAAATACTCTAAACGTGACAAAAAATATTCATAATAAAATATGAAACATAATTAATTTGATAAAAATAGTTCAAATAAAAAAGGCATAATAAATAACACATCTTCTATATTGATATCATATTTATAAAATATAAATACTTTTTTTTCTTTTAGTTAGATCAATTTCAAAATTTTATAGATTAATTTGAATACGATGATCCACAATAGGACTTCTAAACTACATTGACTAAATAATTCATATAAAACTAAACTATCTTTTAAAATATTTTTCATAACTAAATCACAAAATATATTACATATACATAAATCATTATAAAGTTCACAAAATAATACATATTTTAAATAAAAGTAGTAAATTACTCGAATAGAAATATATTCAAAATTTGATATGAATCCCAAATCAATCTATATTATAAATATCACTATAATTATAGAAAGGTAAACAAAAATCACAAAATTACAAATTAAAGATATAAATAAATTTAATAAGTTACAAATTTAGTACTATATAACAAAAATATCCATAAATTCAATTTTAATACTATATATAATATATATAATAATATCCCTTAACATATATACAACAATAATATCCCTAAAGGAGTAAGGAGGAAAATCTTAATGTCAATTCATATGCATATAACCAAACTTGATCCCCAGGCTTAACACATTCAAATGACAAACACTACCAACTCGGCTAAATTTCAACACGTTAACATAACTTTATACTAAATTATTATACACAAATATCTATAGTATATATAAAAGGTATTGGTGTAGGGTGGTGGGCCCCTTCCAAGAGTGGGCCCTGGGCAAGGGCCCAGCCTGCCCTTGCCCAGGGCCGGGCCTAGCCGCGGGAAACGAGGAGACAGTTGGTTCACCCGAAACAAGCGAACCAGAACGAATAGTGTCCGCACCATCGGAAGTCGAAGGAGATCCAAACAACGCCGAGGACGTGCTTAATTTCCCCCCTGAATTACTACAACCACGAACCAGGCGAGGAAACAGGGTGGACGATTCCCAGATTCCATTCTACCACGCCCCAGTATCTTATGAGGAAGATGATGATGAACCAACTCCGTCCTACGACAATGTAACGCAGATGATCTAGGAAGGAATGGTATTTCCAAACTTTGAAGAGTTAAAGAATGCTGTCTCAATTTTCCACATCCGACACCGAAAAAATTTCTGCTCCAGTTACAAAAAAAGCAGTTCTTGGCGAGCTGTTTGTGCAACCACTGGACCACAACAAACGCCGTGTAATTGGTCACTCTCAGCTGCTAAATTGAAGGGTACAACAAACCAATGGAAGATAAAAAAGGTGTCGACTACACATACTTGCCAAAATGTTTTCATTGAAGGAGGAATGGACAGGGTGTGCGGTAGTGATTTAATTGCTGCTCTGGTCACACGTAAGATTTGTGAAGACCCACACTACAAAGTCAAACACATCCAAACCGATGTAAAAAATGAGTACGGATTAGATGTGAGTTACAGGAAAGCGTGGTATGCTAGGCAAAAATGCATTGAGACTGAGTACGGCAAATTTGCTGACTCGTACAATGAGCTACCAAGTTTCCTCATGTCTTTGAAGGCAACAAACCCCGGCACCATAATTGAATTTGATTTCACACCATCCCCTCCATCTCCAAGTGGCGAAAGCGCGTACGTTCATTTCAAGTATGCATTTTGGGCTTTTAAGCCAGCGATAGACGGCTTCCAGTATTGCTTCCCAGTTATTGGTGTGGATGGTACACACCTCTATGGAAAATACAAGGGCAACCTCCTATTAGCGGTCGGGACGAACGCTAATAATGAAATCTTTCCACTGGCCTATTCCATTGTGGACGCTGAAACCGCAGCCAGCTGGAGTTAGTTTTTGGAATGACTGGCATCACATATCTTTCCCCATCACGAGTCCATGTGCATCGTTTCGGATCGGCATGCTGTGCTCGACGCGGCGTTTAGGGATTTGAGTTTCTTAAAACCTCCACGTGTACAACGCCGCTTTTGTCTTAGACACGTTCGTAGTAATGTGATGACGAAGTCGTCGAGGAACCCTGAATTGAGATCTTTAATATGGGAAGCTGGAACTGCATCCACACATCATGAGTTTCGGGCCACGATGGATAGAATCAGGGCGACTTGGCCAGAAGCATACAATTACCTAGAAGCAATTGATGTGGAAAAGTGGACATTGTCGCACGATGGTGGGCATCGGTATGGGGTAATGACAACCAATGGATCAGAATCGTTCAACAATTTGTTGAAGGGTTGTCGTATGCTGCCAGCGACTGCACTAGCAAGGCTGACATTTCACAAGATAAGGGTAATGTTTGCGGACAGGCGAAAAACAAGTCAGCGGATGCAGGAAAAAGGGTTGCGTTGGCCGAACAAAATTAATAAGCAGTTGACGAAACTAGAGACCATCGCGTACAATGCCACCATAGACAGATATAATGACTCCATGGGATTGTACGGGGTCGCTCTAGATAGGGGACATGCAACGCAACGTCATTGGAACCGCAACATCCAAAGGGTTTGGCAGAACCTTCCTGCGAATGTGGCCATTGGAACCGCAACATCGAACCATGTGCACATATCATTGCTGCCGGTCAATTTCAAAGGGTTACCTACGACTCATTCGTGCCAAATGTTTACTCATTATAACACTACATAATGAGTTATGCAGGTAATTTCAATCCACCTACCTATGAAATTGAAAGGAGTAGTGATGTTACAATTCTTCCACCAGTATCTGCTAGGCGAGATTCGCGTCCTGGTCAAAGACAAACTCGTCGGCACGCAATGGAAATGGACCATGGACATACAATATCCACGAGAGGATGTCAGTATTGTCGCGCTAGAACACATTCTTCAAACCAATGCCCAAGGTTTATTTCATGGCCGTTGTGACATTTAAAAATTACACTCCTTGTACACAGACCTTAAATGAAAATGCGAATGGTTTCTACTTTCTATGTTAACATATTTTTGTTTACAAGTTTCACATTTCTGTTTTAGCCCATTCTTCCACATATTTTTGCTTGCAATATACGACGTCTCAAATAAATAACAACTCAAAAATTGAAAAAAAAAAACAAAAACAAAGAAACAAGCAACGAAATCCGAAGGCATAGGCGTGATAACGTCTATTCCATACGCGTTATTCGAATATTGTGCAATTCGAATAACGCCTAACGCCTATGGCATAGGCGTTATTCGCATTTGTCAGTTTAAATCATGCCTATGCCATACGCGAAATATGAATATTACTTATATTCCCTCCGTCCATTGTTTAGAACCACACCTACTGATTCTTCAATTTGCTCCCCCTCCAGCACAAATCATTTTGCCCCAAAATCGTAATCCATTGTCAAACACTTGACCAATTTTCAAGTTTCTCTCCAACGATCATGGATATTTTTGTAGAATTTTCAAAGGTTTCATGTGTCAACCAACAACGTTATAATATGAAACGTTATTTTGCAACTACAATCAATGGAAGGAAATTATTATATGCAGCAATTATACAGCATACATCGGAAGATCAATATATATGTTTTGCACCTCCTACATGGGTCAAATATATGAAAATGCGAGGAATAAACGTGTCTGATCCAATTGCATTTCATAATTTTCAAGATGCAGAGCCTTTTACCTATGACATCCTACAACATGGCTTACGAACACTAATACTTCCCTCACGTAAGTCATTTCATATTTCAAATTTATAATGTGTAGTTATAACTATTTTTTTCTTTGCTTTCGTGTAGCTTGCAATGATCAAAAACATTTTCTAGATATTGCGAGATCTACTATTGTGTGGTTTTTTATTACAATTAGGTCGCGTGTCACCATGGTAAATTAATCAATTTTATTTTGCACTTTTTTCCTTTTCGATTCTATTCCAAATTATTTTTTTAAATGCGCCCTAATTTTGTTTTTTTTTTATTAATTACATTAGAAAATCCCAAATTGCATGTATCGACATCTAATGCAGCACTTCACAACGATTGCGATCTTGAAATATGGTTCGTCGTTCGGAATCGAAGTGTCGGTTGAAAACATGCACTTCACTACAGGAATTTCTTATTTCATTACTGCGAATTCGTTACGAATAGGGGACATGGTGCTATTTAGACATATTGGTTTCTTCACTTTTGAAACCTCTTGTTATACTTTCGAGGGAATGTTGAAGAGGTACCCTTATTTTCAACCAAATGCGTACCACATTCCTTCTCGAACATATCGACCAGGTAAATCTTTACTTCAATGAACAGCCACAATTTTTGTTACATATTCCACAAAATAATATCTCATTTTTTTAGCCTTAGACCGAATACGTGTAAAGGCCAAATCTGCATTGTCCCCAGCATATTCAATTCAGGTAGAACGACACCGTTCTTTGTATACGGATTTCTCCCAACCTGGAGCGGTAAGAAATAATATACATTGATAATATTCTAATTCATTTCTAACTATTATTTACTAATTCTTTTCTTTGTTTCGTCACTATAGAAAACTCGATTTTCTGCATTCCTCAGAGATTCCGATGAGTTCGTAGATGCTACGCTTCAAATAGTTTGTGGATCAAGAAAGCTAGACCTATACTTTGACACAACTTTAAACTTTTTTCACAGAACAGTGGGAGGAAATAACAACACATTTTAATATTAATACAACGGAGGACGATGTCGTTGTATTCAGTTTGGAGGACAACGTTGTACTCCTGTTGGTGATTGGTTGATGTCATGTTGAAAATATTTATCCATGGTCGGTTAAATATTTCATTCATGACAATGTGTATGGTGAACTTTACACTTTAGACATATGATAATAAGAGTGTTTTTGGTATTTTATTACATTATACCTATGTTTCACTTTTACTAATCATTAATTTTTGTATTATTATCTACTCATAAATATTATACTTTATTTCACAATAGTATTATACTATCTTAATACTGTATTTAACAAGGTTATTATTTACTCCGTATTTGTTTTTCGTAATACGGTATTCTATAATGTCGCCAAAGCTAAAGCCAAAATTGTAAATGATGAATGTCGCCTATCTAAAAGACACTTTCCCTGGTTGGTATCCCACTTTAGGGATTTCCCTATTTCGAATCCCACGCCAATTTGTTTCCCCGATGAGTTAATGATTCCACCATCTGCTACGACTGCTTGCTCATTCGTCACGCGCTCTTAAGGCACCTGTAATATTTTGTATGCTCTACAGACTCCTAAGAGCATCCGCATCAGTTGAGGAGAATTAGGAGATAATGTAAGAGTGATTAGAAAAGAGAATGTTGGAGGAAAAGAGAATGTGGGAGGGGAGAGAAAAAACAAAAAAAAAAAAACAAAAAGCAAAATTGAAATTTTTAAAATAAAAAATTGATGTTTACTGACGCGTCTCTGGGCGCGTGGTGAAGTCCTGCGCGAAACGCGCTTAGCAGGCGTTGGTTCTATTTTTTTTTTCTGCCATTATTTATGTAAGAGTGATTAGGAAAGAGAAAGTGAGAGGAAAATGAAAAAAGAAAAAAATATATAAAATTGAATTTTAAAAAATTAATAAATAAAAACAAGTGTGCCTCAGGCGCGTTGACAGCGCGCCTGACGCGCCGCATGGGTGCGTGCAGTGCACGCGCCCGTGTGGGTATTGGCTGTGCACAAACGCGCATAGCTTTTGTTGTTGTTGTTGTTGTTTTTTTTTTTTTCGTGACATGCTCCTTGGCCCTTGCAGGAAAATTATTTTTGTATTATTTCTTCTCCACATTGGTTATTATCTTGAACATGAGATAATGCATTGACATTATCCCTATATTAACCTCTAATGTGGATGCTTAAAGAGCATCCACATTAGTGGAGTTATTTTGTAGGTTTTGATGAGTTTTCGTAAGTGTGATTAGGAAAGAGAAATGAGTGGTGAGAGAAAAAAGAAAAAAAAATTAAATTAATATTTTTTTTAAAAAGTAATAATAAACAGAAGGTTCAGGCGTGCGTGCATTGCACGCGCTCGTGTGGGCTTTCGCGCACATCACATGACCCTCCTTATTTAATTCGTCTAACATTATTTTTTGGCCTTTGCAGGTCCATTTTTTCTCAATTAATTCTTTCCCACATTAGCTATAATCTTGAGCATGAGCGATATAATGCAGCATTCTCCCCAAAATATTCATTAATAATGTTGCTCTAATCTTTACTTCTCACTTTTATTCTATGATGATATAACCAGAGATAATAAATTATTTTTATCTTGTGTGTTTCAAAGAAACTGTCAACACCAAAATTTTGAATGATTGAGATGAGAACTAATAGAATTATATTCAGTAATGTAATTACAAATGTAATTATTACAGATATATATAAAGAGAGAGTCTCAAGGAGACTGTGATAGGGAGTCATAATCTAACTCAAATACATAGAGTCCTAATATTCTTTCTTAAGCACAAGATACAATAGTGACTTGTAGTTTGTCTCTAAGAAAATAAAATCTAGGATCAGGTAGAGCTTTAGTAAAAGTACCTGCCAATTGATCTTTAGTTGAAATAAAATTAACATGTATATCTCCATTTGCAACTCTGCCTCAAACAAATTGATAATCAATTTCCACATGTTTAATGTGAGCATGAAAAATGGGATTTGCACACATGTATGTAGCATTAATATTATCACACCACAGCTTGGGAATAAACACACTAGTCAAGCCAATTTCACGAAGAGAGAATCTAAATTACCTCAACATAAACATCTGCTAGAGTTTTATTCAACCTCAGTAGAAGATCTAGCAACAGTTATTTGTTTCTTACATACTGTTAGGAATAAAGTGTAATGGTTTTGATATGCCAAATATGTATTTGTAGATCCCCCAAT